GTGTGTGTGTGTGTGTGTGTGTGTGTGTGTGTGTGATAAACATGTTAATGGAAACATCGTGTGGTTAAATGAAAACGCCGGGTCTGCTAATTCCGTGGCTGTTTTTGTTCAGGCCTGCATGGGGTTTCACAAGGTTCAGTCTTTTTAAGGGGGCGCCGTTCCTTGCCAATCCTCCGTACGGCCCTCTTCCTGATTATTTCCAGCAGCAGTTTTAGAAAGTACGTCCTCTTCAATACTGACCGTCCTTTCCTGCTTCCCCTTCCCCCCCCCCGCCCCCGTTGTGCGCGCGCGTCGCCCAGAAAAGTCTTAACCTTCTTTCGGAAAAGATTTCGCGTTATAGGCTTTGGCCTTCTGACCACCAACTACCAACCGCTTCATTTTTATTTGGTTCATATAACAAGCGGGGGGCTGGGAGGTAATTGGGTTAAGTACCCGATCTTTCTTCCGAGAATGAGAAAATCCCACTAAACGCCTTCTTAAAATGATGGACTACCAGGCGGCTCCCGAGCTGCATCATCTTTAGCGCCCTTGTATTTTAGCGCTATGGCCTGAAAAGCCGGAGCCCTGGGAGAGAGAGGCAGCCGGCCAGGAAGGGTTAAAGAGCCCGGGGAAAAGGAACCGGCGAGGCGGGTCGCCGCGGGAGAGGAGGGCAGGCCAGGCCAGGCAGGGCGCTGCTGCCTTTGCCGTTAAACACAAAGGAAAGAGCCCAGGGAATCCAGACCCAAATCCACTTGTAATCGCACGAGAGAATCGCGCATAATTACTTGAGCAACCTAGATTAAGATTGATGAGCCTTTAAAGCGCCGTTTCGGATCGATCCCCTGCCCCTAGCAGGAGCCCGGCCGTTACGGCAGCCTGCCCGGCGGCGCGCCAGGACAGCGCTCCGCCGAGCGCGGGGAGGGAGAGCGGGAGGCGACGCGGGGGGGGGGAGAGCCAGCCGAGCCCAGCGCATGTGATCCGGATCAGCTGACTGGGGTCGAGAGGCCAGGGTGGCCTATTAGGAGAGAGAAAAACAAGAAAATGAAAGAAAATAGAGTTTGTATCAATATTATCCAGCCCCTGGTGGGTTTGCCTGAAAGCTGTCATAGGCGACAAACGGAGCGTTGCTTTGGACTCTGCAAAGGGCCGCGGGGAGGGGGGGGGAGGCGATGCCTGCTGCTAGGAGGGAAGTTAGCACGGAAATCAGGGCTGAGCCACTCACGTCAAGCAGTTAGAGGGTACACGCGAGTTAAGTGGGTGGTGAGAAATGGCCCCCCAGAAATTCGTGGGCGCGCAGAGAGGGAGCGCTCCGTTGCAGCTCCGAGCCCAGGTCACCATCTTTAGCCAGAAAAAAAAGGAGATGGGCTGGCTGGCAACTTACCCGGCCGCAGGCAGAGAGACCCAGATTTGAAGGGGACACATTGGAAAATTGATTTTTCCCGCTCCCCAGGCTAAAGAAACTGGATTTGGCAGGAAGGGGTGCTTTCATTTCTAAATTGGACAATGTTTAGTTATTCTAGCTTTTAGACGGTAGTATATTTCGGATTTCTTATAATGGATGTCTGGATTTATTTATTCATATCATTTTAGGACTGCACCTTAATTTCCACCCTGATCCTTACCTCAGATTTTTTTTAATACGTTAAAATACAATTACACAAGGAAATCCGTTGGCTTTGATTCCCTCTTGTTGTCATGCTATATTTACATTTTATTGGTAGCAATAATCATTGCTATCTTATCTGAGAATACTTCTGTAAAGCATTTCCCTATTCTTACCATTGTTAGAAATACTTAGTTTCAGGATTTCTTTGCTAAGATAAACTTGACTGCATTTTGCTCACATTTATTTGGAAACAAGACTTAATGAAATAGGTACATATTTCTTTCAAAATTGTTTATGTTCAGTAAATAACATTAATTTTGTTAGAATTGCTCAGTTATTTTTCGGTTTTATTTTTCTGATTTAAAAATATTTCTGCTAGAAACCAGATTTTAATGCCAAGCTTTCCTTTTTTACTCAGAAGTAAGTCCCAGCTAAGGTCCCAGCCTAAGACAGCATGCTTAGAGATTAAATGGTGGCAACTAAGAGAATATTTCTGGAATCTTGGGAGAAAAATCGATTTGCGATATTTTTTCACAATGTATTGTAGTAGCTATTTTTTTTTTTACAAAATATTTGGGCACACCCACACAAACAAAACAGCATCAGAAGCCTTGCAGATGGTTGCATAGTGTTAAAAATAAGCCTTGGTTACAGTCAGAGATAATAATAAAAATTAAAATATCTTGCCGATAGGATGCTTCAGTGAGAATTGATTTTGGAACTAGGGAAAGAAACGCAATTAAAGGCAGCCCCGGTAATCATCTACAATGGGACTACTGCTAACTCGTTTGGATAAGATTCCTACATATACATGATTGATAAAATATTTTCAGTTGTGATTTATTTTCCCACGAAAGAACACTTCCCAACCAGATCCCTCGGTCTCGGAGAGTTCGAGGTCTCCCATTGAGTTGGGATTAGAAGACCCAGGCAGTCTTGTTTCTTCTCCCGCCGGCCCTGTGTCGGTCACCCTTTGGTGCAGCGCAGGGTCCCGCTTTAGGAAACCCGCAGGCTGGTCCCCCGAGTACAAAGGCTTTTTTGCTTTCGTTCTCGGCAAAGGAAACGGAGCAGGGCACATCTGCTTCCGAATTGCCACATCCTGACGTCGCCGCTCTTGTCTTGCAGGGCCCGTGGTCCTCAGCACGCCGGCTCAGCTTATCGCCCCGGTGGTTGTGGCCAAGGGGACGCTCTCCGTTACCACCACCGAAATCTACTTCGAGGTGGACGAGGATGATTCGGCCTTCAAGAAAATCGACCCAAAAGTGAGTAAAGCGCCGGGAAGGGAGAGCGGCGGGTGGTTTGCTGCAAGTCTCACGCGAAGAAGGCTGAACGTGCGGGGAAACTGTCGGCTGCTCCTACTCTTTCACCCCTTCCCTCCTCCTGGATCCGTTACAGCTTTAATGAGATATAAAATCCGCGATTACTCCGACCTTTCCTTTTATCAGTCTCCCTCTCCCCGCCCCCGCCCCCCCGCAATCCTGCCAGCTTGGGGTGTTTGAGGGAACGTGGAGAGCTTTCGCTGTGAAGCCAACTGTTTGGTTTTCCCTGGAGGTAACGGAGGGCCCCCGCGCCGCAGACCCGATCCTTGAACGTAACAACGGCAGACCAGGCGCTTCCTTAGAACTAAGAGGAAATAAACCGCCCCGTTTCGAGGACCTGATTTTCGGAGGGGGGGGGGAGGTGAAGGCGCTCCAGAGGGAGAGGAGGGGTTGTTGAATGGTGCTTAGTTTGAAAGCGGAGCCAGGAGGACGCTCAATTTTCCGAGAGCGGAAGCAGAGAAAGTTCTGCCTTCACGCCGACCAGCAGCAATGGTGCCGTAAAGCAGGAGCCGCGTTCGTCCCACCTCCCCGCCCCCTCGCCCCCCCCGCCGCCCTTACATGGAATGAACAGTGCGGAAGGGGTAATTGTGTGTCTGGAAGTCGTGTCCGTAAAATGCCGTCTAAACCTTCATTAACCCCGATTTAGAAAAGAAAAGCTGCCTGACGGTGGTAGTAGCGTCGTAGGCTGCAATTTCTGTGGGGATTTGTCGTCCACTTTTGGGTTATTGAAAGCGGAGTCGGGATAAGCTGCGCTTCACCTCTGATTTTGGCCCTTGGGCTTAAGCACGATCTACCTCGGGAAGACAGGCCCGTCCCCCAGCCTGACTGCCTCCAAGGGTAGCGCTAAAACATTGCTGGATGTGTCCCGGCAGCTTCGCCCCGAAGGGCGTCCGGAGAAGCCGGCGCTTGTCTTTCCCAATGGCAACTGGCTGATGGCCAGCGTATTGGGCTTTAAGGAAAAATGAACCATAACCTTGGGGCTGTTAGATCGATCTTTGGCCTCTATAAATTTCTCAGATTTCCCTCCCTTTTCTTGAAGTGCTAATTTTGTGGCCAACAAGGCCTCCGGAGCTACAGATTCTGACAGAAACAGGCAGCCGAGTTAATGCAGTCTAGTAAATCTTTGATGGGTAGATTTATTTCCTAGAGGTTGTAAAAATGTTACTCGGTTAATTACCATACCATCCTGTGTGGCAGATGTTGATGGGGTCTGAGATCCATTTTGGGGCTGTTATCCCTTTAAAAAAAAAAAACATAAGTAAAATGCCACAGAAGGTTTAACTTACGTGCCTTGAGAAATGCAGCACCATCTCATATCGAATCCAGCACGCAAAGCTTTGACCATATTTATTTTACTTGTATTTATTAATTTGTAATTAAATAAAATCAACAACAGAAATTTAAATCACAAAAAGTAATTATCCAGTGTATCTCAAGTGCATTTTTCCAATATATAATTCCAATATTCGCAATTATATAGACAAGGTCAAAATTTCTTTTGAATATATTTAAATAACATTTCAAGTATATTTATGGAATGTTACAAAGAGAACAAGCAATATATTTGAAACAAAAATGTAAACTTTTAAGCTTAGACACTTCAAAAGACAATAAAACGTAAAGTACCATGATAAAATGTACCTTTCGACAGGGTATCTTTCTTGAGCAAAAAATGTCTTGAAGTATTCCAACAATGGCAATTTAAACTTTTTTCACCAAATCACAAAACACTAACATCCACAATTTCAAAGACAACGTGAGATCACAATATTCCATACAATGTTTTAGAATGCACAGGGGTTGGGAGCGGAGGGGAGACAACCGCGGTAAGGCTTGTTTGCTTTTCTTTGTTCGGGTGGCCTCTCGCAAAAAATAAAAAAATAAAAAAAAAATACTGGCCTGGTTAATCTAATCCCCCTGGTCTGTTTTCTGTTCAGCAATGCTGGCAGGCAGGCAGGCAGGCAGGCAGGCTGAAGTGTAGCCGCTATTGCCTCTCCCCAGGTGAGAATAACACTCTTTGTTTTGTGTTTTTTTTCCGAACGGGAGGTGGACGCCGGGTTGGTGACAAGTCGTAATCCTTGCGGTGCGCTTCGCCTGCGGGGACGGCCTCTTCCTTCTGTGGCAGGCTGGGCGTTTTGCGTGGTCGGCTGGCAGCACCTGAGTTTTTCCCCCCCACAGAATCCTCGAAAGAGAAGGAGACGGCTGAATAGTTGACGGCTGCGTCTCCTCGGCCCTCTAAAGTTTTTCCAAACTTTTGGGGTTGGTGAGTATTTCCCTCGCCAACCGCCACGTTTGTTTGGCTGCGTTTTCCAGGGCGGAGTGAGGCTTGCCTTGGAAGAGGTCTAAGTTAGGCAAGAAATAATGCGGGCACCGCCTGCACTGAAGGCAGGAGATGAGCTGTAGTAAAATCCCGTTGAGGCGGTCGCCCAGGCAAGACTCGTCCCAGTCCGATTCCCGCGGGTGCTTTTCGCACTCGTAGGAAACCAAGGTCTTCATGTGGTAGTTGTTCAGGGGCTGCCCGGGTAGCTCCAGGTGGCGATCCCGCAGCGTTTTGAGGATCGAGAGGCATTTCTTTCGGCAACCGCCCATTTGAAGTCTGTTCTCGGCCTCGGCGAACTGCAAGACCCAGGCGTCGCTCTCGGCCGAGCTTTGCTTGCCCGCCAGCGAGTGGCATTCCTTGGACAGGAGGTTGAAGCCTTCGGCTTTGACCTCGGCCACGCGGTTCGGACCCGGCCAGGGGATGTGGGGCAAGGGCCAGTGGGCAGCGCTTCTGGGCCAGATCCCGGTGCATTTAAACGCCGGCGTGATCTGCACCACGTATCTATCCCGGATCCGCAGCTTCACCTCGCTGGTGTCCGCCACCATTTTCACCACGTCTCGGTAGCTGCATTTGTCCACCGCTTGGGCTACGAGCGTCTGAAAGCGGGAGCGAATTTTGCGGGCCGAGAGGTAACCCGAGGCCGTGATGAACTCCACCCAAAGGGACATGCTCCTCTTGCGCCCGTCGCTCAACTTGAGCACCGCGCAACCGGGCAGCGAGCCGTCGTCCACAAAATTGAAAACGCCCATTTGGTTCAGGTAAAGGACCACTTCGAACTCGGTGGGCGAAATGACTTCCAGCCCCTCGTAGCGGTTGTCCATTTCGTTCAAGGAGCTGATGAAGCGGGGCTCCTGCACTTCCACTTCCTTTAGCACGTCCGAGACCACTTTGCAGACTTCTCGGATAGTTTTCGCGATGGCCGCTTTCCTGGCTTGGCATTTCTCGTTGTAGTACTTATTGAGATGGTAAACCAGCTTGGCCTGGGCTGCGATCATGTTGGGACAGAGATCCGGATTGTAGACCGGAGTCTCGCAGTATGCTGTGGGATCCAATGCGGCTGCTAAGGCTGGAGCCAACTTCAGAGAAGAAGCAGACTCTCTTACGCTCGGAAACGTAACCAGAAGGTTATGAAGAAGGCGCTAGGCGGCGGCGGCGGCGGCGTTTCTGCTCCTTTCCAGCTCAGATGCTTTTTCTTGCTGCTGCTAGATGGACCGTTTAGTTCTGGACAGATCTCCGATCCTTATCAAAAACACACACCCTGCTTCGGTGTGCTCAAATGGGTGCCGTAAGACAATCTTTGAGTGAACAGCAAAACGCATGGAAATCTGCTGTTGAAAAAAAAAAGTTTAAAAAAGTTTGAACAGATTTAGCAAGCCTTCCAATAGTCTGAATTACACCTCCGATACATATATTTGTGAGCTTCTCTCGGAGTAGCAACCATGTGTGTAGGATGGCTAAATTGCAAAGGAAGTGCCGGTGTTTCTCTCTCTCTCTCTCTCTCTCTCAGTGTGTGTATGTATCAGAAGGAGCTAGCTGTTGGTTTGTATAAGAACCCAGATGCACTCGTGTGGAAATTATAAAGGCAGGGCCAGGCAGGCGGGCGGCCAATCGCCACTGGGCTCGTCACGGCAGCCTCTTTCAGCTCCAGCCCGGTTAATTAATCCCTCTCTTGGCGGTAGAGAGAGAGAAACACACAAAGTAAAGGTAGGGGGCTGATGGCACAGAACGACCAGCCAGGCCGCCTACCCATGGGGAATGATCGAGAGGGCGCTTAAAGGCGGTGTCGCCAGGAAAAGACTTCGAGGAACTCGAAAGGCGCCGTCAGAGCCGCTTTCTGGCACAAACGGGATTGCAGGTGTCACAAGCCCGCCATCACTCGACCAGCAAACTGAAGAAGAGGTTCGCTGTTGGAGAAAGGGAGCGAGGACCCTCTGCTTTTCTGAACAGAGTTTAGCTGGCGCTGCTTCTGCCTCATAGCCCTTGGAAACCGCCAGGACAGTTTTCCACTGGTCAGCTGGCCAGCCTAATGTTGAGAAGTTTCCTACCCTTGACCGCAAATGCCAAGAGAAGGCATCCCTGCTCTTCCAAGCACACTTAAATAGCATGACGGGTCTTAATCGATGGGATGCAAATGTTGTCTTCTTAGTTTGCTAGCAGGCGAACGAGATAGCCCGTGGACGATCGGGTTTGTCCATTTTCCGGACTGAGTTTGTGAAGCCACACGTCTGGTGATCAGCACGATTTGTGTTTGTTAGTGATTTAGGTGCACTGTTGCCTTCTTTGCAAATTGTGTAACAGAGGTACCTGCAAGAGACGCCGAGTGTTCTGGACACACTTGCAAAAATAAATGCCTTTTAAATGATCCGAAGTGGGCAGTCTACCCTCGTTTGAATTCGGGATTAAATAAAAGGACACGTGTGGCTGAGGGGGTGGGCCAGGTTAGCGGAGCTCATACTGGCATTGGTTGGGACAGCAGTTATCTCCACAAGGAGCATCCCAGGAGGAGCTGAAGTGGGGCACATTTGTATTGTAGGACGCCTCCCAGCACAGCAGTTCGTTACGGGGCGCTGGCCCAGAAAACCGGTTCCCGCGGAGGGGAGGTCACCTACGCGAGCGCCCGGTTCTTGGAGAGGCCTTTCGAAGTCCCGAAGGCCTCTTAAGGTTAACATTAAGTGCCATCCGGAAAGCGGAAGGGGTGCATCAGCGAGATTTAAGCCCTCGAAGTCAGCGGGACCTTCTTCCGCGTTATAAAATCGGGGGCTTCCCCCAGGCAAAACGGCCTTTGGCCTTCAAGTCCCGTTTCATTCTCCTGGATGCTGGTGGGAAACATACGGGTTTACTGTGCGCTGAGACTCTTTCAAGGACTTACTCCCCTCCCTAAAATTGCATTCACGATCTCCCTGGTGTAGTTCTGTAGGATTTGGAGTGAAGATTCACCCCTCAGAGGCGTCGCTTAAGCCCTCTCCTTGAGCCATATTTTCCCCCTTTCCAAAGTCCTCGAATTGGAACTCAAGAGACCCCGAACGTGGGACACGCCTGAGGCCAGTCGGCGCTCCACCACTCCAACGGAGCGAGGCGAGCCCGCGTTGGGCCGGCATTGAATGGGACGGCGGCGAAGATGCGAGCCTAACCGCCGCGGAGAGCTCGCCGGTCTGAAAATGCCTCCGGCTGCGCCTCGGCGGGTTCGCAGGTCGCCCGACGGGAGCCGAGCGAGTCGCGTTTTCCTCGAGCCGGCGCTTCTGATCTCTCGGCGCCTTTCCCCGCTAGGAAACGGCAGCAAGGCACTTCCAGACCAAGCTGGACCTTTGCGGAGCGGCTTCCCATCGGGAGCGGAGAGGCGCCCAGGCAGACGTTTCGATGCGCAACTCATCGCCCCCCCACTCCCCCCCCGAAAGTTGAGGCTTCTGGGAGGACACGGCGTGGGCCGGAAGCCGCACCGGCGCTAGACTTTCTCGGCTGCCCCGGAGGGTCCCAGGCGGCAGGGACCGCCAACAGGTGAAGGCGCGCCCTGCCTGGAAGACCAAGAATGGCGAGCTGTACGTTGGCCCCTTGGCCCTAGCGCCACAGGCCTCCCATTTCCTTTAGCCAGGAAGATGCCTTTGCCCTCCGAACCGAGGACCGACCGACCGATGCCCGTAGCCCTCTCCTCTGGGGACCACCGAGAAGGGCGATTCGCGCTGAGAGTGCTGTGCAGAGCCGCGCTGAGGGCGAGGGGCCCGGGCCTGCGGAACCCCAGGGAGGTGTTCTAGAGCGCGCGTCTGCAGTGGCCTCCGCTTTCTGACGTATCAGGGCTTTCCGATTGTCTTCTCCAATCGCCAGCTTTTTGCCGAAAACATAAAATGGTACGTGACACCAGCCGGCCATTTAGATTTTCTTCTCAGAGGAGATGCAGCCAAGCTCTAACAACTGAAATCCTGAGACATCAGGAATTCTCTTCCTTCCTTCGTTGCCTACTGAGAAAAGGCACACACTGTGAAGCATTGAGTTACATTGACCTTGTTCCTATTGTAGCAAGACGCAGACGTTAACCAAGGAGTCTTATTAAAGTCCCACTAAAATCGGAGGCTTTTTATCTGGACTATAATGATTGTCGGGATGGGCTTAAGAATGTCCTGTTATACTTCCTGGAGGTAAATATTTCTTGCAGACTATATTCTGTAAATACATTACTGGTGCTTAAGATATAAAATGCAAACCATAATTTATAGGCCTGAGCAGTCAAACTAGATTGCTAAGACCTTGATAGCTTAAACTGCAGTCTTTATATGCTGAAGAGCATTCTCAGTGGGCCTTAACTTCTAGCTAAATATGCATATCCCACTGCTGTTACCATATCCTCTTGAGATCACTAAGCCAAGTTCTGTAGATCAGATTTACCTTCTCTTAGGGTTAATTATTATTTCAGCATTTGTCACTACTGATTCGAATGGTTTTGGTATATTCAAGTGTGCTATTTGAGTCATGCAGTTAATAAAATAAATACAAATGAATTATAAAATACACTATTTTTTAATTTATATGAAATTGAAATGATCATATTAAATTTCAAATAATTTAGGAAGACATACAAATGAATTGTAAAATGTTCAGGAATAGCAGAGATGTATGTAAAACTAGCAGAGTTGCCAAACTCAACATGAACTCAGTCATTTATTATTTTAAAATCATGTTAACCAACTAGCCAAATTTTATTAACTTTATTTTAATTTCATGGAATCAAAATACCATACTGACAAGAATCACAGTGTTTTTCAAGTAGGTGATGGTGGATTGGACTCAATATTAATAAATGCTTTCCCAAATGCATTGTCTTAAAATAATTGTGCATTAGAGATGCTTGTTTTGGGCTGATATTCTCACAAATTTTAAGCACTGTACTTTTTACTTTTCTCTGTGCTATATACCCACTGGATACAAGTTTAAGTTTTAATTTTAGTATCATGATGTTTATGATCAAAAATAATTGATAAATGTATTATTATGTAAAGAATAAAAGGGATAATTATAGTAAAATGATATATCCTTTATATTTTTTCTTCTCCAGTTGCTTAGACCTGCCCACTTTTGCATTGTTGTAGTTAGAATTTCTAGACATTGATATAAAAATATTTTGTTAAAAATTATTCCTATATTGTGTCAGAAGCCAAATTTAATTAAAAATACATGCATACTCATTACATTTATAACACATTTTGCATATTGTGTGATTCTACACATTCGTATCTTTTTTAATAACTGTCTATAACACAGAAGAGACAGCACACGAAGTGTTATTAAATTATTTATCCCAGTTGATGCAGTGTGCTTGAAAGCTCATTGAATCTGTCTGAGTTTAACTGTGTTTTCTTCTTTTCATAATTCATATTCCTGCCACCACAATAAATTTATTTTTTGCAGTAAATTAAACACATATCTACAGACAATTCATTTTATTATTTTTTCCAAAATAAAATAACCAGAAATTTATCTTCTAAGCACATTTGGTGATACTTCTGATGGTTTTTTTTAAAACATATTTAATTACCATGCCTTTTTCAAAGATAGCCCTGTTCAAAGGGTTAAAAAACAATTTTGAAAGGTTATTTTTTTCCTCAATGCGTTTTGGTTTATAATATTAAAAGATGTATACTGTATCAGCGTAAATATGCATAATTACATTACAGATGGCCTCTTCATACATATATGTATTTGGTGTCTAAAACAGTTCAGGTTGGGTTATTTAAACAGGAGTGCTTCAGTGTTCTTCTACAGATTAAGATACTGTGTAATTAGAGTTGTTCTGCCTCAGGACTTTGCTACATATACACTCAAGAAAGAAACCTTCTTCCATTCCCCAAAGATTAAGCATAGCAAATCTTTCATGCATGCCATTCATCTTTGGAAATAAAGTTTACTCAGCGTTCTACATTGTGACTCTGTTTAATTTAAGTGATAAAAAGGTACTCCAGTCCCACACTGGCCTTGCTGCCCGTTCGCTTTGCCTAAGAAGAATTCATACCTTCTTTACCCCAATTACGACATGGTAATGAAGCTCAGGACCAGTTATTGCTTTTTGTCTCTCTCTTTTACCTCATATTGCGATCACTATTACAGTGTAGCCAAGGAGAAAAAATAACCATACAGCCCACCTTGTACACATTTGGAAAGATATATACCTATCAGTATCCTGCATTTTTGAAGTGCAGCAAAAAAATAAAAATAAAAAAAAAAATCCAACAAAATTCTGGTTCTGTCCTTTCTCAGATGATCCTTGAAAAAAACAGACATTACATTTTTTTTGCGAATTATGTGTAGCTCAAATGAGTTTTGGGTCTATAGATAACCCACAGTAATTGTGCTGTTTCAATTCATACAAGTTAGCTATGGCCTATCAAAATTCTCATTATAATTCCAAGATTACATTTATATTAGATTTATATTATGCTAGGTGCAGGTTGGGAACTCATTTATGTACATTCTTATTCTCCTTTGAAATAAAAAGTGTGAATTGTTGGATGAATTTTTAACAAATAATTTTTTATACAAAATTACATTTACAATTTTTTTTAAAGAAAATGTATCCAAGAAAAGTTTGGCATGTCTACACGTCAAATTTCAGTTAAGCAATCCAACAGTGACATTTAAGGATCTACTTTGAAAAAGCTCAAAGGTCATTAAAATCAGAAAGGATTAGTTTCCTTTAATCTACTGCATCTGCAGTAGGTCACCCAATAAAATTCTCACCACTGTTTTATATTATATATGATTAATCAACTAAAATATTCTGTGTGGACCTTGAAAATATAGCAACATGTATTAGATAAACAATTTTGAAAATGTAATTTTTTTGTAAACATGATTTCTAAAATGTTCCCACAAGAAATAAAAATTTTAGAAATGCTTTCTCTCATACCTAAAACTAGAAGTAGACAAAAAAAGTTTCTAATAATTCTTTTTTCTCTGTTAGACAGAAATAGACAGAAGTAACAGTTAAAAAGATGCTAATATACAAGAGCACATCACTAACTGATGTCACTTAATTATTGCAAAGACTAGATATTTGATACCATTTTCCCCCCTTTTAGTAGCGTGTATTCTTCAGGGACTAGTATTGGTATTTAAAGACATAAATTGTGAACAGAATTTGTAGATGAAACATTAAGTATTTTGCATTTGGCTACAATTTCTAATACCTGTATTTTGATTTAGGAATATATAAAAAAGCTACAAGATTAATTGAGGAAAAATAAACTCATTGTTTTTGAAATCACTAGTTTCTGGGCATAATTGAAAGAAGTTAGGTATATGTGAAGTCCTACTGAAACTTTTGTTACATTCATTCAAGTGTTGTCCTTCTTTAAAACTTTAATAGATAGAATATCCTTCTTTGAGTAATTTCTCCATTAATAAATCAGCTAAAAAGATTTGTCCATAATTTTATTGTAAGAATTGTGAGAAAAGATCCTCCTATATAAATCTGTGGAATTATACCCCCAAATATATATAAAAATATATTGACATATTCTGATAGTCTTTCATATTCAAATGCAGACACTGCTATAAGTATTTAATTTTATATATAATAAGCAGTCTTGATATTATTATATAAAATGCAAGATAGAAGGACAATCAACAAAACATTGCTATTAAAATTATCTGTATCATTATATTCAGTATTTATAACAATGTAATAGTTTTATTTGTTTGAACAGATATTCCCCTCCCATTTTCAGTGTGTTGCTTTATGGCAACTATTTTTGAAATATAGGGACATTCCAAATGTAGTATGTCAAATAATAGAAATATATTTACTTGTTAAAGTGCTAAAATTCCACAAGACTAGCGAAATCAACTTGCGTGTACTTTACCAACTCTAAGGCAACCACAATTTTTATGCTTGAGTTCAGAGAAGAGCAACAAAAATGGTAAGGGTCGCAGAGGCTAAATCCTATGAAAAGTGGTTAAAGGAAATTGATGTACTTAGCTTGAATAAAAGAAGGCCAAGGATAGACATGATTATAGTTTCCCAATAGATGAAGGGACGTCACAGAGCAGAGTATGTGAATGTGAATGTTTTTTTCTGTAACATCGTAGGCTAAGGGACACAGATCCTAACTTGAGACAAGAAGGAGGTAGGTTTCCGTGAGAGTTTCTAAGTAGTAGAACAGCCTGCCTCTGGAGACGGTGGGTGCTCCATCATGGGGGTTTTTCAAGAGCTTTGAACAGGTAGCCATTTTTCTATGGTAAGAGGACAGGCTGTTGAATAGATAATATCCAATATCCCTTACAACCTTACGATTCCATGATTCTCTGTATTCTAGCCCAGGTTGCTAACAAAAATAATTGGGGTGATTGCCATTAATTCTGAATCAAACTGCTCAATAAATTGTCCTCTTTTAAAGTGAAATATTATAATAAAAAAGCCCATGCAATTGTTTTGTTTCACAAAGCTTTGGGGTTTCAAGTGAAAACTATTTTGACTCCTGTTTGAAAATTTCTTAATTGTATAATGAAATATAAGATTTCCAGCATGAAATCTAAAAATATATTTTCAAGATTTATCCCATAGATATTATATTTCCACTGAACATAGTTACATTTATTCCTGAATACATAAGTTTATGCCATCAGACTCTAAAATTTACCAGTTCTAAAAAGTTGCAATGTAGGACAATCTTATTTAAATTAGTTTAGAAGCCTTAAGTATTAGTGGATTTAGTGTACATTTTAAATACCTTTATATTATGCTCCATATGAGTATAATTCACATAACTGTTGTATTCGCAAACCAAGCTAAAGAACAGGGATTATCAACCATACATGCTGTGGAATCATAAGACTTGGAACATACATTTTTAAACTTAAAATGGTTGCATCTTCTAAGTTGCAATAGTACTAGTAGACATTTATAGGACATTAATATCTGAATGCTTAACATTTGAAGAAATACTATTAGCTTCCTTTAAAACACTGGCAAGTGTCAATGGGTCACTCCCTGTGCTGGCACTACAGTATTTATTATACATTATAATACTGATTTTCATATCTATGATGTAGCCCCAGTTAAAATACAGAAAACATAGGGGCTACTTTAATAATCTTTTTTTCATCTTTGAAGGTGAATTATTGCCATTACAAATCTAGCTTAGGAAACAGTTTCAGTATATCAAGTATAAAGGATAATACACAGTGAATAGTCTTTTCCAGAAGACATTTTCCTTTTGTTTGCTCAGACATACGGTAGATCCTTCTGGATCCACAGATATCATTCCCAGATAAATGAGCATAGGATTATAGCCTTAATGCCTTTTTAAAAATATCTAGTACTTGTGGATTTAAACATGTTCCAACATTGACATCGTGATGAAGAACCTCAGCAACTGAAACAAAGAAGAACCTCAATGACTAAAAGGAAGTTTACTATAATTCAATGAGGTAGACTGGGGCCTGAACAGTTCTCATACTTCAAATACTATGCATGAATTTCAAGAATATTTTTTAAATATCATTTAATCTTTTTGTTTCAATCACTTCCTCAAAAACAAACATACAAGATTTCAACCAGGCAGAAGTGTTATATATAGCAAATGTATACTAACTTGTTCTAACCAACTTTTAAATTAGGGTCGATAAGTAGTTAGAAAAAGAAATTTCATTTCCCAATCCCCTCTTTTATTAACTGGATGAACTAGTAGTCAGCCAGAAATTTTAGGGTGTCAGAATAAGCAAGAATAAACACTAATTTTGTGTTTACTATCTCTAGGAATTTGGTACCTGTGCTTAGAATGTCATCTAAACAATTACATTTAAAACCTAAAATAAGCATGAAATATTTTATTATTCATTTCTTTACCATTCCATATAATATTGTATCAGTTTTATATATTAATTATATATACATTCTAATTCTAAGATTCTAATGATAATGTAATCAGTGATCATCTTCAAATAAGCTGCACCATGCTTTCATTTTCAGATTGTTCCTTTTTAGTATTGAATTGGTAACTTTTATTGGCATACTCTCTGGACTGTAGAGTCCAGAATTACTTCTGTTAGCTTCCTGCAATGAAAAAAAGATTTCCCTGAAACTTTGAAAAACTAATGATTTATTTTTAATGGACTTAGTCTTCACTTTTGATTTCTGTTATATACTATCATATACTTGGCTAAATATTTCTATTTAATTCTATATTGAAAAATTATGACATACAGATGTTATCCAGAATATACATGAACAGCTAACAAATTAAAGACTGAATGTTCATCTGAAAGTACTCTAAGAAGGTATATATTGTTTATATTTTGAAGAAATATTCAATACAAGATTTAAAAGGGGCCAATACTACAAATAATAATACCAACAACTTCATACCCAATCTTTGTCCCAAACTAATTGCTATAATGTAAATCTGTTTCTCCTTGGGTGTTATTGAGTTCTTCTGAAGTACTTGGTGATGTCAAGGGAAAATATGGTAGGGAGGAAAGTGGGTACTTTCAAATTAATTAAAAGTAAAATGAAAGTTTATCAACATATCTATCAAGTATCAAGAATGTGTGCGTATATATAGATCTTCCAGTAGTCAAAGGTTATATTTAAGTACGTATAATTGTTCCTCTTAGGTATGTTGGAAAGGGATGTAGGATACAATCCTTTTTCTGAAGGTGTGGGAAAACAATGCAATTTGCAAAGAATGTTTAAAACTTTATCAAGATAAGTATAGGCAATGTGAAGAAGTTGCCATTCCTTATCCAGACATAATGCAAGTGTGCAAAATAAAGCTACCTTTAGTATCAATGTTAGGAAGAAAGGCTAAGTTCTAATTCTTTGCATCATATAAAAATAGATTTGTAGCTTTAGAATCAACACTGTATGTATCCCTCAGGACAATACTGAATTTAGGAAATAATTAATTGCTAATTAAAATTAATTGCCTGTAACATTTAACGAAATAAATTGATGAGCATGCGCACTATCATTCATATATGAACCATCTTCAACAATAGAAACAAGCACAATTTTTGAACCAAAAATTGGTTTAAATGGGCTAACTTCAGAAAATGTCCAAAATCCTGAACACATGACTCCCAAGGGAGTGACATTTGGGAACATTGTGGCTGCTTCAGTGCTACTAGCTGCTGCTGGGCTGGTGTTGTGGTCACATGTTCTTCCTTTTTAATATTCTGCGATAGTTTCCCACCAAGTCCCATAATCCCTTGTTCTCCCCTCCACTCAACAGCCACTGACTTCCCAAAGGAAAGGGAAGAAAATTTCGATTCTTCTTGCCAGCTTCCCACAATGAAACACAATAGGGAAGCCAGCAAAAAGTCAGAAGTCACCTCTGCTTCCACTGCTTTTGTGCCTACCCATGAAAATTCTGTTTCATCTCTGAAATGATGGTCCAACAGGCCATGATTTTTCTAGTTCTTTTAATTAAATGCCAATTCCACTTCTCAGAAAATTATGTGGGAAAAAGATTTTCATATTAAGTAAACATGGTATTAGTTCTTTTGATACAGGATTAAATTCTGAACAATTTTAAAATTTCAAAATGGTCAATGAACCTTTCCCTTAAATCTGAAATAAACCAAGATTATATGTAAGACACACATACATATATATAAACTATTGTTGGCTTTGGTTTGGGGGATGAGAAATAGCATTTTCTCTCACTTTCTAGATCAGAGGTCCCCAACCTTTTGAGCACCAGGGACTGGTTCCATGGAGAAAGGTTTTTCCATAGACCAGAGAGTGTGTGGTTTTATGAGCTACCTGCATCCCACGGATGGAGCTTTGCTTGTTTGTGCAGACTGGTTGCTGGAATGCCACGGCCCGGTGCCAGTCCACAGACCAGGGGTTGGGGACCCCTGCTCTAGATAAAATGCTCTCTACCCTTTAAAATATTTCTTAATGACATCATTGACATATTTAGTTTGGGCTGGGTCAATTTCTCACATTTTAAATATTTCTGCCAAATTTTAACTTTGGTATATACTAAATCCTGTATACTAAATAGGTTGTTAAGTACTAAAAGACAGCCCAGTACAGATGAAATGAATAGATGCCACCTTATTGGTATTTATAGCAGTGAAAAAAAGGCATGGCACCATTAAATGGATATATTTTGCTCAACTAATATAACGATTTTACTATTACAATGTAATGTTCAAGCAGCCCTCTTATTGTAGACAGCTGCACAGATAATTGTGTATCACAAACCTACCATGTTTAACACAGAAATGCTGTGTTACTTCATTTCTGATAAAAATAGATATAGATATTATCACATTTACTATTTTTTCTACAATGGGATAATTTTTGAAGTTACATACTTTTTAGTAAATACCTAAAATTATCTTCAGTCTATTAGAACTCACTCAGATCATGTTAACATCACATTGAACTTTTAGCTAAACATATGTTACACATTCACCTTGGACAAAAAACAGTTGACTTTTATCCTTTATTCAGTAAAATTATTTAGTTTAATTTTAATGAGAGTTGAGTCATCTGTTCTATTAAAAGGATAAAAATAATTGCAGGAAATAACATTTCAAGTAAGAATATATTTTAGAAATGTTTACAGTGTCACTGTGTAACAATTGCAGAGTCAGATCTATAAGAATAAATGTATCATATCTGATAATGTATAACCAAACATAGAATTTTTTTTTTAATTTTGGAAATCAAATACACTTCATTGTAGATTATTCATAGAGCCATGCTGCGTGGTCTGAGTTCTGGAAGCAATCTCTCCTATGAAAAAGAAGTCTTCAGCATATACCTAATAAATAGTTATGCGAGTGAAAAAAAATATTTTATTGAAAAGAATAGAGAAGTTAAAATGACATTTAAGGCACATTTGAGGTTCAATTGTCTATCAAAAATCAGATTAATTTCAAGTGAACACACAAATATTCCAAATATGTTCTCTTTCATAAATAATGCTAAACATTTTTTTTAGCAAATATTCAACCAAAGGCACATTTTCTTCCCTGGAAATCATTTCTTAAATATATTGGCTAATTTAGACCCCTACATGTTTTTTTTTAATAATCCTGCAAAACAAAACAGTTAATAAATATAGGCTTCTCATTGGCAGTAGGAAGTATATATAAGTAATCTCACAGTTGCTAGATTGTCCTTTAATGTTTGTAATTTTCAGTTGCACCTCAAGAGATTTCCCTTTAGTAAGGTAAAATAACACAACATATGAAGAACACAGTTGTCTCATTGTACTCATTAAACATATTCATTGTTTGTGAGAATAAAGCGGTGTTGGTAATTTATTTTGGCAAACAGCTCGGTGTCCCTTACGGTTGCTGTTTGTGATACTTACTACCTTTTGATTTGTTTTGCACATTACTTGACTTTATTTTTAGTGAAATAACATGGAATATTTATTGCATGCAACTTACTACTGGCCTAATTTGCACGTCACAAACAAATGGCATAATTTAATAGATGGAAAGATTTCCCCACCCTACCAAAATTCAGCTCTTCATTTGTTTTGCTCACCATGCCACATTAGCACAGTTTTCCCTTGTGTCCATCTGCCCGTGTACAATTTAGCCATGGGCATCTGTAGACCCTGTGGTGATCAGTATTGCAGCAAAAAGCCATATGTGTTTAAATAAAAAAAACCTCCTTATTTCATTTGCTATTTTAACTGGATGGATAACTTTTGTACCTTAAGTCAGAGGAAGAGAAAATACAAAAATAATTGCTTCTATTCTTTAGGCAGTTTCATTTTCCCTTTCCAATATGGAATGCTTGTCAGATTTCCTGATAAATGACAGCCGGTATTTGCATAGATTTTACATTAGCAGAAAAATTAGTTTATTTGTGAAAAAGTAGTTTACATAATAATGAAAAGAATGGTATAAATCATGTTTATTAAACTAAGGA